GGTTGGAACTGGATGGTCTTATGGTCCCTTCCAACTCCAACTACTCTATGATTCTATGAAAAAGGGGAGGCCCATCTGTGACTCCCAGGCAATCCGGATATGTAAGGAATGGGATGCTAGAAGGAAGAGAATCCCATTACACAGCTAAGTGACACACTCTGGACTACCGAGCTTATTTGTATTGTTTGTCAACAGCCACAGCACAAGGGAAGGGGAAATCAGAGGGGCGACAGAGCCGTGAGAGATGAGCAGGAGAGCAAACTGAGCCGTGCATACCCGTACAGCGCCAGGCAGTAGGGAAAAGGGGTTAAAAAAACCAACAAAAGCTCTTCCAGATCGTGTCTGTGTAACGTAGAACATACCCCGTTCACGTAAGCAGGCAGAGGCAACGCACCACCCTTAGAACCAGAACAAGGCCACGCAGCGAAGTTCTGGTTTGCTCCGACCCCCTCTCCCGCCTACTGAACCCATGCCCTGTGTTGCAACCTCTGCTCAACAACACGGTTGACTTGGTGCAACAAACTATGACCCTGACCTACTTAAAGAGATTATTACCGACAGATAAGTGCTGTAAACAAGGATCCCTCTGCTTATTTGCAAAGCAGCTGCAGCTCATCAAAACCTCAACATCTCAAATACTTGATAAAAATATGCCAGGTTTAGACTGTTCATAGATAACCCGAGGCTCACCCTTCGTCGCTCCGGGTTAGCAAGGAGTCGGGGCAGAGCAGCGCTCTCCTGGGGAAGTGTTTTGCTGCTCTAAGCTGAGGGAGAACTACCCAAGCAGGATCTGTCCTCCCTTCCAAAGCTTCCCAACAGTATTTCTGGTGCTATACAGGATTTCAGGAGAAGCTGCTAAGAAATCAATTGCTTTCTTTTTGTTAAATTCAACCACCTAAATTCACTGAGCAGTACTAAAGGAAACGTCAGCTTTGCAACCACGTGTACTGTAAAAAGCCTGAGTATAGAACAATACTTAACCAAAATTAACCTGGAGTCTCTGGGGCTGGGAATGTATCCTGGGAAGTCCTGAAATACTGTAACCTCTCCAACACCACTGGTACTTTTTACATCCACAAAAGTCATTCTCTAGAACTCTGCCACAAACAGTAGCCGGATCATAGGACCATCAAGTAATCTGGGTGGCAAGGAAGCTCCAGAGGTCACCTGACCCACACCCTTGCCCAACGCAGTCGTCTGCCAAGCGAGATCCAACTCTGAGGGTAGATCAGACTCCTCAGGGTCACATCCTGCTGAGGTTTGAATACTCCCAAAGCTGGAGATTCTGGTGACTCTCGGGACAATCTGTTGCTCTTTTTGCTATCTTCATGTTGCCCAGAGAAGCTGTGGATGCCCCATCCCTGGGAGTGTCCAAGGCCAGGCTGGATGAGGCTTGGAGCATCCTGGGCTTTGGAAGGTGTCCCTGCCCATGGCAGGAGGTGGGCTTGGGGGGCTTTAAGGTCCCTTCCAACACAAATCATTCCATGATTCTATGATTCTAATTATTTTCCTGATCAGAATTTTCTTGTTGTATAGACTGTCGCTGCTCCTCTTCCCTTCTCTTCATACCTCAGGGGAGGCTGCCTCCGTCTTCTCAGCACCTTCCCATCAGGCAGTTGCAGACAGCGCACCTTCCCCTAATGCTGAACGAGCCCAGTTCCTTCTCCCTCTCCTTTGGGCTCCACATGCCTTTTTCCCCACCGCCATCAGCAACCTGCCCCACCGCCATGACCCTCCACCACTGACGGGGAGAGGCCCCCAAGACAGCGACCAGCTCGTGTCATTAAGTCCGGTTTGCTTGAGCTCTGTCTAATTTGATCTTCCTCTGCAATGCGTTGTTTCTCTTCCCCAGACCGCTGCTAGGCCCAGGAACCTCCCCTGCTCAGGGAGGCCCGAAAGCAGACCCACCACAACGTATCTCACGTATCTCGGATCGCTACTATAGGCCTGGAATGCCAGAACTGCCAAAGCTTCCTGGAAGCAAAGGAATTCCCTGGAACTGCTTGGGAAAGATAAAGTTGTGCCAAACCAGAAGAAACGCGTCGACTAAAGGGTCATTTAGATCGTCAGGTATAGCCCTAACCCAGGGATTTCTCAGCAGAGCGGGAGGGCTGCCTGATTACACGCCAACCTTTCAAATCACGCACACATGCGTGCTAGCTGCAGTCCGGACGATTCGTTTGCCTCTCTCTGTCGCCAGCCCTCCCGAGCTTTGCAGTCTGGAACAAACCAACCGGAATAAACCCAGACTCACCTTGTACTTCCGGGTAGAGAGACATGTAGAGCAGGCACCACAGCAGCGTGTTGGACGTAGTGTCTGTGCCTGCGATGAAGAGGTCCCCGATGATAAAAAACAGGTAGTCTTCATTAAAACTGCTCTCCTTGTTGTCCTTCTCTTCTTCCGCGTGAATGAAGTACATATCGATGAAGTCCCTGGGATTTGCCGCATCCAGTGTGTCCCTGTGCTGCGCAATTATTTTCTTCAGAAAAGCGGTAATATCTAATTCTGTTTTCCGAAGTTCCCGGAAAGGCCCGAAGGGAAGGTAGTACAGCCACGGGCAAATGTTGACCAGGATCATGTAGCTGTTGACGCTCAGCTCGAGCGCGCGGGCCATGTTCTTCAGCATCGTCTTGAACTCGACATCCTCGTAGTTGAAACGCCTGCCGAAGGCCATGGAACAGATGACGTTGGACACCGCGTTGCGAATGATCGGAAAGGGATTAAAGGAATCCTTTCCATGCTTCAGCATCTCCTCCTTGATAAACTTCAGCTCCTCAATGATTTTAGGCTCTAAGCTGTGTCTTCCTACTCCAAAATGACGCAACGTCGCGAGAGAGAATTTCCTCTGCTGCCTCCAGACAGGGCCGTAAGGTGCAAAAATAACACCTGGAAGAGAAAAGGAAAGCCTGAAACCAAAACGTTCCATTTTCAAGAAGAAGGAGTTAGACAGGCCTGAACCCCAGGAGCCAGAGGGAGGAAACAGTATGTGGTAAATCCATCCCAAGCACCGGGCTAGGAGCTCAAGGAAGAGCGCAAGGTTCTTCCTTACGGCTTGGGAAATCCTCCTTTTCCCGGTCAGTGACAGGACTGTAACAGTTACACCAACAGTTTTATCACCCTCTGCAAGGCATTAACGGGTGGAGAAAGAGCCCTGCAGATGCTTTAGTAGAAATGGTATCAGTTGTGTAGGAACTCTTACTCTGGGATGTGGGTGAGCTCCAGCCTCCTCAACGCCCCGAGACGCGAACCCCTTCAGCGAGGCAGAACCCAGGATATGAAACTACTTTCATTTCTCTTCCCCTTCACGTTACACAAACTTCTCAAGACCGTTTGCGTGTGTACATGTGAGAAGCATGGTTTTTCTCTAACTTACAGCCCTGCCGACAAACCGGGAAGGTGAAGACAGGTTCAGCCCACTTGGCAAAAACCTGCCTGATTGGCAACTCAACAGCCTCGACGCCTCCAGGAACGTGTTCTGCTCCCTGTGTCATTATGAAACACCCTTTCAACTGAATCCCTTGCCTTCAAGGGTAGGTATTGCTCACTTACAGACACATCTCTTGCTGAATTAAGAGACCACACCAAAGACACCACAGGGGAACAAAACACACAACCTGGCTCATGGTTAACCTGAGAAAGTTCAGAGTCATCAAAACCACGCCCCAGTTCTGCTTTTGTTCTTCTAGTAAGGTAACCCCACACCTGGGCTTTCTTCTGGAAATAAAAAGTTACTTCATCGAAGCAACATCAACTCTTCTGTCAACTGCAAATCGTAACGTTAAATTTAAAATAAAGAGAAATGACCGTAAGAAATCAGCAGCCACAAGACGCACCATGTTTCGTTGCTAAACGCCACCCACTCTGCTGTTACAACTTCATGTCCATAGCCCCTGTGCAAACAGGGGAGCAAACAAACAAGCAATCCATAGCGAGAAGCACAACTCTGTAGAGACGTAGCCCAGAGAACCGTACTCCAAAGGGTCTGCGATCCCAAAGGTATAAATAGTCCAGCGTAACATAAAGCTGGCCGTCTTCCCAGCCAGATTTTCCAGTTACATTACCTACTCCCAGTAGTAACAACAGCCGAAGAACACAAACCCACGACCCAGCTTCAACAGCCCCAAGCAACGTAAGCAGAAGATGAGGAAGAGTCAGAAGAAGCTGAGAATCAGCTGATGCTCATCTTCTCTGCACGAGGACGTCCGAGTCCCTCCAGCAGCCCTGCACGGGGCATGGCTGCGCGGCATCACATCTTCTCGAGTGCTGGCACCCAGACTCCTGCAGAATGCTAATAACTGATCCGCAAACTGGGAAAGAACAACACGGGAGACAGATTAAGGAGGAAGAAGAGCGTAAAGTCAGAATAACAGAGATAAGAGAAGGCAGAAAACTGCCAGCTGGATGCCTGCCAGGCAGTAATGATGAAACAGCACTTCACTCTTAAATCCCTGCACGGCCTGAGAAGGCAAGGTGCCCAGCACAGACAAGTGTATTCTTAAAAAACCCCAACAAAACAACAACGGAATCAGACCCAAACCAAAACCTGAGGAAAACACTACAGTAAATTCTGAAGCAACAAGAACGCAGAGTAACCAGGCCTTCGTGCTCCTGACAGAGGGCTAACGACTACGAACCGCTAACAAAAACCTTTCCACACGACCAACCAAGCAACAAACACAAAGAAACAGAGAGTTTGATTTATTGTCCCTTTTCATGCGAAAAATTCAAATCCTTAGGAGAAGCAGGAAGTTCTGACAAAGGTCCGCCCCCCGCCAAACTTCCCACTGCTAGCTCCAGCACTGCCGCAATTCCGGGAGCAGTGAGAAGCGCGGAATTCAGGCCACCTAGCAACCTTTAACTCCGGTGTTGTCCGTGTCCACAGGTGGGCACGCACAGGGCGGGACTGCAGGGGCAGATGACCACCCACGCTCCAACCACTCCAGAGGCAGAGCCTTTGCTACCTCCCACAGCCACAGAACACAAACATGCTCTTGCTTTTGAGGCACTGGAACAGGTTGCCCAGAGAAGCTGTGGATGCCCCATCCCTGGGAGTGTCCAAGGCCAGGCTGGATGAGGCTTGGAGCAACCTGGGCTATGGAAGGTGTCCCTGCCCATGGCAGGGGGGGTGGAACTAGATGATCTTTAAGGTCCCTTCCAACCCAAACCATTCCGTGATTCTATGATTTACTGAGAAAAAACAAGCCCTACTTTTACCCCCAGGGTCTAGAATTTCTCTTTCCACTGGCCTTGGATGAAGAACTGACCTCTACCTTCTCCCTTAAGTCCTCACTGCACTTCCCTTTCCTCCTAGTTGCTGAAATGCAGTATTTGCCACGTCCGATGCTTCTACGTGCCCTCGGCTGGGCACAGTATTTAATTCACATCTCACAAGCAATAGAGCCAGACGGCTGAGACAAACCCTTGTTTCTTCCATAACACACCCACGGATCAGCTCAGGGTAAAGACAAAACTGCAGTGGAAAATGTAGTTTAAAGGAAAACAGCCCCATAAGGTCGCACCCTACAGACGGAAGATGCAGGAATCCGAAATGGGCATTTAGTGACTCGAAGCGTCCCAGCGCGTCGTACCCAAGTTGCGAGCGGTCCACCTGAAGTCAGACGTGCTCCCTGCTTCCATCATTCCCTTTCCCAGTGCATCCGAACACAACCGTCGATGCCCTGATCTGCAGCGGAGTCTCACCCCTGAGCTCCCGAAACCAAGCACGGGAGGCTCCCAGACCAAACCTCCCCCACGCACCACACACAGGTAGCACAGAGCTCCTGCCTGGGGCCTGCCGCTGTACTGACACCGCGAACAGAAACACGCAGCTTTTGGTCGCTCACCTCTTATCCAGACCCCCCGGCTCTGCAGCAGCTGCCTTCCCCGCAGCACAAATGCAGCGCGGCAGAGCTGGGTCCTCTCCTACCACCGCTGACCCAGCCAGCCCACGGAGAGCAGCTGCCACATCCTTGGGGGCCAGGCAGGCCCACTCTGCCCACACTCACTGACTTTTTTCCCTTCGCATTCCCGAAACACACTACTCCTGAGCTTCATTCCACAGTCGCACCCGCGGCGATTCAAGCTGTTGTACCAGCTAACGTAAGCGACACGTAACGGCTCGGTACACTTCGTGGGCGACTCTCATGTAAGAGTCCTTGTACCTTCCCAAGAAAACTAAACGTAAGGCAGCGTCAGGTCCCCGTGGCAGCATGCTCCAGACAACAGGCTCCTGACACCTCCCGCTCCCTCGGAGCATCCAAGCGTGGGAGCTGCTAAGCTGGTTATCAGAGATGTTATTCGGGCATGTCCACGAATCCTCAGTAAGCAGCGTGCAGCGACCGCCCTGTCACCGTGGTCAAAACCCAGAGAACTGTCTGCAAAAAACAAGAGACGGACAAAATTCACGGCGTGCGAGGAAAAAGAAATGCACCAGGAGCCCGAGCGGGCGGTTTCACAGCACCGCTAAAAGTGAGCTAACCTTTAACTGCCCTTCCCCTTTCCCCCTCCAGGCCCTGCTCAACGCACTGCACCTAAACCGACAGCTACACGCCAGCAGGATCCGGCATCATTACACCAATATCGTTATTTTTTATCCTTTAAGCCAATTACAGCAGTGGTACCCAACTGCTTTTTGATAAACACGATCTAGGTTCCGCGCTCTCCTCTTATCTTCACTGGGGTAATTCTGGTACAATAAAAAATGAAGATAAGATGTTTCAGGCATTTCACTGGCAGATTTCCCGAGCCCTGCGGAAACGATAAACGAGCTTCACAATGGAGTGAGCACATCAACAGCGCTCCTGGGATACACCTCCTGAACCAAAAAAAGGCAGTTTTCCATAACCACTGAGCTCTGTCATGGTCCTACAGACTCAGAGTGAAGAAATCCTGCGATGCTGTCCTCGTGTTTACAGTCCCCGTGCCCTTTTTGCTGCAAAAGCTGGTAAACTCTCCCTTAAACTATTCCAAAAAGCCCGAACACGCCCAGTAAGTTCTGACAAGCAGAATCGCACCCCAACGCCCCGGCAGCAGCAGCTCGCAGGGCGCTACGGGACCCACAGAAACCTGGAAGAACCGGGGCAGCGCACGATGGTCTCACACCGCTGCCCAAGTCCGTTGGTGCTCCCGCCACCGCTCAGACCCGAGGCCCCGGGTGAGAGCCTGGCTGCTCCCTACATCCCTGCGGCTTTCCCTTCCCGCC